TAGTGTCTTCTGCATTTGTACTGGGTGGACTCGGGGCCTGAGACTGCATTTTGTTCCTTCTCTTTGTCATTTTGGATACCTGTCTTCTGACCTTTGGTGTAGAGCTTAGATAGAGTTATTACCTTAGCACCAGGTCCGGATCTGTGAAGTTCGGATTCTTCCAGATGGGTGTTGTTTGGATCTGGCTGCTGTGCTCCACTTCTTTCTGCTGCAGCCTTAGAGTTGAACCCTTTTGTGTCTCTCTGGCAAGATGTTCTGCTCCTGAATCAGCTGTGTGGGTCTTGCCTCTAGCCTCTTTGCAGGGAGTTCTGCTGAAGGATTCCGTGCTGGGCCTGCGCTCTGGGTCTATTCGGGATCCCACGGCCTCGGTTGTCTCACTCACTCACAGTACCTGCGCTCCTGGCCTATTCAGGATCTGGAGGGTCCCAGGTCCTCTCACTCGCCGGGCCTGCGTTCTGGGTTTGTTCAGGATCCCACAGCCCGGGTTGTCTCTCTCACTCGCAGGGCCTGCGCTCTGGGTCTGTTCAGGATCCTGCGGCCCCCGGGTCGTCTCACTCACTCTCCAGGCCTGCGCTCTGGGTCTGTTCAGGATCCCGCCAGGCCCTGGGTCATGTCACTCACCCGCTGGGCCTGTGCTCTGCGTCTGTTCATTATCCCGCGCCCCAGTCATCTCTCTCACTCGCTGGGCCTACACCCTGGGTCTGTTCAGGATCCCGCCAGGTCGTCTAACTTCAACTGTAGGTTATTTAAAAGAAATTCCTATAACTTAGTGGGATAAAAGCAGAAGAAACAAATAATAAGCATTAGCCCTTGATTCTTCAAGATGGCTGACAGGACTGGCCAAATAGCTCACTAAATTAAAGTACCTGCTTAGGCAGACATGGGGACTGGGGCTCCATCCCCAGAGAGTCATGCGGGCCCCATCCCTGGGGCTTGCTGAGACAGCAACTGAGACTGGGCATGGTGATGTGCACCTGTAATCCCAGCCCTTGAGAAGCTGAAAACAGGAAGATTACTATGAGTCCTATCTGTGTAGTGAGACCCTGTAGACCCTGTACTAAACACTTAAAAAATAAAAAATAAAAGATGACTGGCAAAACTAACTTCCTGCCAGCTTCAGTGGAAGGGTAGAGTTAGTGCTAAAAAATACCAGCTTTACTTTCAACTTGGCTCCCAGTACATCATGTACCTTATTATTCACTCATCTCTTCAGCAATTAGCTCAACTAGAACCAAGTCAGGGAAACTCAACAGAATCTGTTAGCCAGGGTGAGGAGAAACACTTCCCATCACATCACTTCAACTGAACAAGACAGATATTCACCTCACTGAAAAATCAAATGCACCCTCACGCAGAGGGTGGTTTAGAGAGCACCACTAAACCAACACAAGAGGGATCAGACAGCATCTGGACTTGGAGAAGAACACGTTTCCTCTTAGGAATCTATTCCCTCAGTTAAACTGCTGGCAAGGACTTCTTCATCCAAAATTTCATTGACATCATTTTAGATTCGCATGCAGTTTTAAGAAATGGTACACAGATAGGCAGTACACAATTTTCCCACATAGTAACATTGTAAAAAAAAATATAGTACACACTTGTGACCAGGACAGTGCTGTTAATACATCCACGAGTCTTGTTCCTGTGTCTCCATTTTTACTTGTACATATTTCTATCTGTGAATTTAGCTCTGTTCAGGTTTATGACCTGTGCAAATCTGTGTATTTAACACAACAGAAAGAGGACAAAGAAGAGTTGAGTAGCCACAAGGCTCTCTCACCCTTTGTATCACCTGCCCACCTCCTCCTTCTCTTTTGTCCCCTCCTTATCCCTCACTATCCCAATCCCTAGCCACCTCTGGTTTGTTCTCCATTTACAAATGTTTTTAGAAAACATTACAAAAATGTTAAGTAAGTGAATAATATAGTGTGCCATCTTTTAGACTGATTAATCATTCACTCACCGTAATTCCCTAATGATTTCCCCCAAGTTGTTATGTTAATAATTCATCCATATGTTACTCCATGGTAAAGATATAAGACAGTTTGTTTAATAATCCTCATCTGAGCTGCTTTAGGGTTTTGGTCATTATGAATAAATCTGCTATGAACATTCAAGTACAAGTTTTTGTAAAAGCCTAAGCTTTTATTTCTCTAGAGTGAATGCCTGAGTTCAGAGGCTGAGTTAGGTGGTAACTGACTTTCAAGTCTTATAAGAACTATAAATACTGTTTTCTTGATGGGTTGTACTGCTTTACATTCCCATTAGGGATGTGTAAGTGAGCTGGCTTCTCCACATTCTCTCCAGCATGTTGTGCGGTTGCTACTTTTGATCACTATTTTTTATTTCAACCATTCTGTTGTCAGTGTTGTGATGTCACTGGTTTTCCTTTGTGTTACCCTGATGACTGGTGTTGTCCAGTATCTTTCCACGTGAATGATTGCTGTCAGCACATCCTCTCCAGCATGTTGTATATACTATGACCATTTGTGTATCTTGCAAAAAAACCAGATTTTTCCACTGTCGAGTGTTAAGATTTCTTTATGTATTCTAGATACTAATCCTTCCTCAGATATATGATTTGCAAATACTTTCTCCTGGTCTATAATGTACTTTTTATCCTCTTGATGCAACATTTCACAGAGCAAAAGTTTTCATTTTGATGAAGCAAATGTATCAATTTTTCCTTAAGTATTCCTTTCATGTCAAGTCTGAGAGCTCTTTGCTTAGCTAAATCCCCAAAATCTTCCCTAATACTTTTCACTAAAGGTCTTATTTCTTTGTTTAATACTTAAGCCATGAACTTTTTCATTTGATTTTTGGAAAGTACAGAGAGGCTTTGGTTCTTAAGGAGTTTTTTACAAGTGGAGTTGAGTGTTCTCCAGCATGGACTGTTGAAAGACTATTCTTTCTCCATTGAATTATGTCTCCTTTAAAAAGTGAATCAGAAAGTATTTTCTCCCTGTTTATTTTCTGGGAAAAAAAAACATATGAAATTGGAAATTTTTTGCATAATTGACTGAGTATAGCAGTGAAACCACTTGGCCTGGACATTTCCTTTTCCTTAATTACAAATAAAATTTCTTTAGTGGCTATAGGACTATTCAGATGATCTATGTTTTCTCTGTTGAGTTTTCTTAAATTTGATCCTTTGCTCCTTGTCATACTTATGTAAAGTTATCCATATGCTTCTCTTATTTTTAATGGCTACAGTGACTATATCATTACATTTGTGGGGCCAGTGAGAAAGCTCAGTGGATTAGGCACCTGCTTAGACAAGCACCGGGACCAGATGTAAAAGTTGTCTGGTATCTCCCCAACCCTGGTAACAGTTTTTATCTTGGATGTGGAATGCAAGAATGGAGTGTGAACTTCAATCTTTACCTTCCATAATTCTCCATATTTCTGTGATATTTGAGGTTTAATAAATATCTTGTATTGCCTGTACATTGCTCTTACAATAAAACATCAACTAATAAATACTGTTATACATTATAAATGCTGAGCCAATCCTTGTTTAAAAACAAGAAGGAGAATTCTAAATGAAAAAAAAAAAGTTTTAATAAATTTAATACCCGTCCCTATCGGGACAAGGGACAGCTAATCTTATGCCAGAGACCCTTCCCTTTTCCAAATTCCATCTGGTTTTTCCTCTTCTGACTGACTGTTTAATGAGCCACTTTAGCTGGCCTTCCCCAGGGTTAACTCACAACTCTTCCTAAATAATCCCAAAGTCACTTTGCTGGCACACGTGTTGTTTACCAGGCAGCTGTTGCCAAAAGGCAGTATAACAATGAAAAAACCTCAGATCTACAGAATGCAGGTCTCATTTCTGGCAATGGATATGGGGGCCACACACAGGGAAGTGCTCTTGAAACTCACCATTTTATGAGGCAATTTTGACACTGTAACAAAAGAGCTCAGTATGTTTCTAAGTATTTACTTCTTTTTGTCTGAGAAGAGCTCAGAGGATTAGGGATTGTGTCACTCCTTTGAGCAAAATGAAAACACTGTTTGCTTCAGAACTTGACTATTGTGTTTTGGAATCTACTTTCAACTCAGATATTTTCCATGAAGCCAGTTAGCTGAAATCAGCTACCCTTAATATTTTAGAGGAGGCAGAACTGTCATTTGACTTGTGCATTTGGGATTGAGATTGACTCTTCAGTGTGCGGTCTTAGTGACGTGAAGATTAATCCGATTCTATACAGGAAATTCAGACCGCATGGGGTCTTGGTATCTTTCAGGTTTTCTTTGTTAAAAGATGTTGTGAACTTTAGATGCTAGCAATGCCACGCTTTAGACAACTTGCCGAAATGTTCAGAAATGACAACAGAGCAGCAGAGGCTGTGGTTTGCTCCGTGCTTCTCTCTGACACATCTCCTCTGATATTTTAGGAGTTCGTGATGATTGTCGTCTTTGGTTTGGAGTTCATCATTCGAATCTGGTCTGCAGGTTGCTGCTGTCGGTATAGAGGATGGCAAGGAAGACTGAGGTTTGCACGCAAGCCCTTTTGTGTTATAGGTGAGTACTGAAGCCCTTGCTCCCTGGATTCCTGCTCTGAACCTTTTTCTTGTTTCCTATATTACAACATTTGACCAAGTGCAAATGTCCACGGAGTACCTACTGTAGAGCATGCTCCTGTGGGTTTTGTGTGTGTGTGTGTGTGTGTGTGTGTGTGTGTGTGTGTGTGTAGCTTTTTGGGAGTTTTTGTTGGTTTTTTGTTTTTTGGGTTTTTTTTTGTTTTGTTTTGTTTTGTTTTGTTTTGTTTTGTTTTTGCAGAACTGGGGATTGAACTCAGGCCCTTGTGCTTGCCAGGGAAGCGCTTATTCCACTGAGCCATCTCCCCAGCCCTCTCCATCTCCCCAGCTCACTCCTGTGTTTTAAAAGCTGTTGGTTCATCTACTCTTCACCTCCTCACCTGCACACTATAGATGTGTTTATTATCTTTGCTCCATGGGTGAAGAAACTAAGGCCAAAAGACCAAGAAATTTAGGGAAAGGCACACACTTAGGAAATGGTAGATCTGCGACTGGAGCTGACAGTTCTTCCTCCAGTATCCCCGTGCTGTCACTGAAGTTGTACTGAAACACCTGGTTCTCCAGTGTTGCCCTGGAGAAGGCAACTTATACTTCGGTAACTATAAAAAGAGTGAGCTGTACAGTATGACATCAGACTAGACTCTTAATCAGTTGTAATAGATACCAGTATGTTGTTTCTGGTAATGTGTGTGAGTGAATGTGCCTCCGGAATGCTTGCAAATATGGTCTTCTTTACACATTGGTACCTTAGATTTGACTGAGTGTTGCACACTCTTAAGTAAGATTCCGATCCCTACGCAACCACCAAGTAGCACCTCTCAGTACCTCTCCCTGTCCATCTGCTGGGCTTCCAAGGGGATTCCATTCTGCTCGGTCTCACTGTAACATGATACTGCTCAGCGCAGATGCCAGAGAGCGTTCTGGAGTTAAGATCTGGTATTTCCCACTAAGGTAGTTAAAGACATATCCAAAACTTGGAACTGTCATCGGTTCAAGCTACCATTGTCATTGTGATTGACAGTTCCTTCTTGTTTTCGTGCTGTCTCTTTTTCTCTTCCTAGGGAGCCATGCCCACCTGAAGGCTGGGTCCTCGGTAAGAGTTACTGCACATAGCCCCAGCCTAAGAAAGTGGGCTCTTACTTTCCAAAGTGGTTTTGACTTACGTGTCCCCAGCAGGGTGGCCTACTTGTCTTAGAAGTCGGGAATTGTTGAGATGGCTCTAGTTTGCTCTGTGACTCGAGCAGAGTAGGATCTGAGATGTACAGTACCTCCTGCTCTGTGGCACTGGTAGGAAGAACGCTTTGTTCCTGCTGGGTTTGTAGTAAGAATATTTTAAAACAATTCAACCAGAATTTGTGGAAGTTCAGAGTTACAGTTGTAAAATTCTGAGTTAAATCAATCTTCAAATACCTGTATGGTATTTCAGGTCAGCAGTGCAATCTATTTGCCCAGCTGTGTCTCATCCACAAGAATAAGCCTTCCTTTGGGACACTGTTATGCTGAGGTACAGGAGGCAGCTGGCCACTTCCAACCCTGCTGGTCTGTCCAGCTACTGGGCATGTTAGTGAGGCATTTGATCTTTGTCCTAAACACTTTCTCCCTTCTGAATTCTTCGCTCAAGCACCATTATGAAGGATGTAATTTGACCTGGAACTACTGCACAACAAGTACTCTGTGTCCCATGAGGGACCAAGCGAGGCAGTCCACAAGGCAGGTGCCTGGCCCAGATCCACTCACCCCCTGCAGGATGAGTTCAGTTCATGGATGACTGCAGGAATGTTCCATTCTAGACTTTAAAACCAATTAAAAATTGGTTTTGTTCAGAAGCGATGCCAACATATTTCTGGCCTCCACGCTGAAAAGAAAGCTCTTTCCCAGATGCCTGCTGCTTGTTGATAGCTGCACTCCACGATGGGCACATTAGCACATCCTAGTCCTTTCATCTTTCTCTTTCTGTCACAGATCCTTGCAGGGCATTTTCTCCAAATGATGCTGTGTTGCCTGTAAGCTTACTTGCCTTTACACCTATCAACAGTGACCTCAGAAATTTAATAATATGTGATTTAGGCAAAAATCACAATTTCCTTATCTCTTCAGGCCCTTTCCTTCACTGGGTATTTTATATTTACTAAATTAATTGCTTGAAGTAAATGGTAGCTGGGGAGAGTAGTTGCTGAAGCTTCTGTTAAAGTCTTTTGAGCCACAGCGGCGAGCTTTGTCTGTCCATGGCCAACACCCTTTGGGCCATTGGTGCCCTCCGCTTGGAGGTAAAGTTAGAGTCCCTGGTGCATTGGGGCTGGGCACGTTGGGTGACTGTCATATAGGTACTTTATTGGGACCTGACTTGTCACTGGTGACTTCAGTTCTGCCAGTGGCCAGCAGGCAAGAGTACCAGCTGTGGCTCGGAGCATGCAGGACACAGCACACACGCAGATACTAGAGGACCTGGCCCAAGATCTGCCTACCTGGAGTCACATGGCAGGGTCCTGGGGCTGCTGTAGAAGTCACCTGAACTAGAGGTATACTTCTCAGTGTACAGAAACTGATGAGACTTCTACGACAATGACCATTAAAACAAATGGATTTTTTTTTTTTATCTACTACAGGGTCTAACAATGTAGATAGGACTCATAGTGATCCTCCTGCTTTCAGCCTCCCAAGCACTGGGATTACAGGTGTGTGCCATCACACCCAGTCTCATTCACTGTCTCAGCACGCCCTGGGGGCAAGGCCAGCACAGTAGGCCCAGAGGTCAAGCCCCCAGCCCCTACATCTGCCTAAGCAGGCACTTCAATCCAGAATTTTTTGGACAGCCCTTTATAGTCTTGATATGTAGAAATAAATAGTGTTTTGTTCAAAATAAAATAATTGCTTGAAATAAAATTCCACGTGTAAACAGATAGTGAACTACCAATTGAACAAAGACCAGACACATACTGACAGTAATGATAACCATGCAGTTTTTCACTACTGGATTAAGTGTTCATGTTACAGTTTTGATCTGGGTTCCAGCTGACCTGATGAGGCATGTTCAAAGTGGTTTATCCATATGAGATTAGTAAAAATTAATCTGAGTATGACCCAAAGGTCACCCACTTGCAGGTAGCAGATTGTTCTCCCCGGCTGCTGAGACCTTTTCTAAATGTATGTGGTAGGTCCAAAACACACTTGACAAAATCATGAAGTGGGCCCTATGGCTCATTTATTTAAGCAAATGCATTCTAGCAAAATAATAAGAAAAAGAAGCAGCTCACCTCTCTGATCTGTCCATGCTAGCTGTTTTGAGACATTAAAAATGTAGCCAGAACTTCTCAAGACTTCCTGCACTGGTGAAGTCTGATTGCTCAGAATAAGCCCAGCACACCTCTAAGTGTTTGAACAACTCTTGGGCATTCAAGAAAGAACGCAGCAAAGGCTGAATTCTGGTCACCGTGCCTTCGGTGAGGTAGGGCTTTCCTCAAGCACGTCAGTGCTGACCTCCTTTCCCGTGGCAGACAGACAAGCTGTAGGCGTGGTCAGCCAGCCAGTCCCTGATGGTGTCCTGCTTTACTGACCAACTGAGAGTATTTGGACCCAGTTTGATAGAGGTCTTGTGGGCTAGTCCCAAAGATGGTAGTAATTCTCTTTCTGAACTGCCCAATCCCTGAAATCGAGGCAGAACCAATGGCCTTTCAAACATTCACTGATTTAAGAAATCATAAAATCATTATATATTTTCATTTGGAAAACGTATTTTAAACAACCATAACCCAAGGAAATAGAGAAGTCTGTTTAATTCTTTTTCAATTAAGGACTTCCTTTCATTACTATATTAATTTTTTTCTGCTTGATGATGAGGGTTCGCAAAATTGTTAAAATCTTATCAATTCTTCCTTTGTTCCCATATGTTCGATTTATATGTCTCCTCTAGGGGCTGTCACAATAAGATTCCTGCACTCATTTCATCAATGATTTGTAAAGCCAAGTATATTTTGGAATAACTACTTAAAATGCCCTTCATTTACCGATGCTGGATGCTTTATAATTTTTCTACATTCAGGCATAAGTCATTCACCAGAAGAGCATCGGTGTTGAGAATGCGTAAACAGCCTCAAAAACCTCCATTGCTCTCCTTTTCTTCTAACTTCCCTTAATGACTTTCCTGAAAGTTGCAAATAACAACAAAGGCCGACACTTACACCACAATAATGATCCTGCTATGTCAGAACACCAACGAATCACTCCTAGTAGTGACTTTATTTTTTTATTCCTTGGTGATTCATAAAGACAGATGTTAACAGGTCCTATCTCAGACTTAAGTGTGTCTCAGTATAGCAGAAACTGCCAGCCTATTGGTGATCTGGGGTCTGTATTCTAAGTTGATTTCTGGGCTAGCGAGATAGCTCAATGGACTAAGAGTTTGTTTAGGCAAGCACAAGGACCAGGGTTCAATCCCTGGCACCACATGGTACACCAGCCCCACCTCTGGGAGTGCTGAGCCACCTACCAAGACTGGGCATGGTGGCCCACACCTGTAATCCCAGCACTAGGGAGGCTGAATACAGGAGTTTTGCTAGGAGTACAAGCTGTATAGTGAGACTCTGTACCAAATACATTAAGAATAAAATTAAATCTAAGTTGATTTCTTATTACTATTTTAATAGCTGCTCTTCAATGTAATATCCACAGTAGCATGAATGAGGAAACTCACAGCACAAGTGCTCTCCCCATGAACTGAGCGTCTATCCTTGACCTAAGATAAGTTCTTCGGGATAATGCCAACCGGTGCCTCTAAATTTTAGGGTGTAACCAGCTTCTTACTTGCTTAAAAGACAATTATACTGCATGACTGACGCCACTCTAGCATGCCTATGGTTTCTTCATGTTACAGGGTAACTTTTTTTATTATTAATTTTATTGAGAAACATCAATGAGACAGTTTCAAAACAGGTTAGTGGGACAGTTTCAATAATTAATGCATTGCATATTGTTGTCTTCTTAGTG